CGCTTTTCACAAGGTGAATTTGCAGTGGTGGGAAAAAGATAGCTCCTCAGGTGAAGGGACTCAGAGTGGAAAGGCAGCACCTGCTGAATGGAGATGTTCAGGGCAAAGATTTGCACTCTCACCTTCCTAGAAAGGTCTCTTCCACCCTGCTCAGCAAGGAGCCCGGAGCGAACCATGCTGAGGCCATGGGACTGTGCAGCATCCAGAGGGGCTGTGTGAGGTCTCTGGGTGACAGTCACCAAGTGGAGGTTTTCCAGCAGTTCTGGCACATGCAGTTTTGGCATTGCCATCTCCAGGCGCACGTGCAGCTCTGAGATCTTGTCCTGCTGTTCCTGCAGTTTGTCACTCTAGGAGGCAGCAAGAAAAATGTGATCACAAACACACTGATGCCAWAGCTGCTGTAGAGGAGCCCAGAGGCCAGGCTGTACTCACTCTTGCTGTCTGGGGAAACGGGGAAAACTGGGGCAGGTCCCTTCTAAGAAAGCAGAAGCCAGAAATACCTGTAGCTTATACTGTTCCATGGCATCCTCCAGGGCAGCCAGGAAATCACGGTTCTCCTCCTCCAGCCGCTCCACTTGTTTCTGCAGTTTAGCCACTTGCTCATCTCTGACAGACTCGCATCTCTTCTCAGTGTTGACCTGTCCCCAAAAGGCAAGAAATGCAGCATCAGAATCTGCCTTGTCCATCCCTCCCTTCCCTCGTCTCCACAGGGGCATGGCAGCTCTGCAGCCACAGTTCTGCAGAGATTTTCCTTCCCAAATTGAAGGAAACACCAGAGTAAAACCTGAATCCAGCCTGCCTCTGCCTTCCAGGAGGACAACATCCTTCTGTCTCCCTAAGGGTCTTGGCCAGTTACTCTGAGATTTTTCCTCTGCTCTTTGCGGCTTTGCTCTCTGTCCCAAAGCCGCTCTGTTGAGTGGCAAGTTGGATGAATGTAACCTCCTCCTGCCTCAGAGGTTCCATCCTCTTTGTTTTCCACAAACGACTAGAGGGGCTCATGCCAGACCACTAGAGTTTCATGGAAAAAATCCCCCTCCTTTCCCTTTGCTAAGACGGGGCCTCCTTGGCTGTCCTCACTCGGCACCTCTGCTCTTACAACAGGTCTGCTTCTCCTCCGAGACAACAACGAGGCTTGGCAGCTGTGCTGCACTTCCCCAGGGCGCTGAGYGCGCAGCCAACACCCCAGAAGCTACCTGGGCTTTTGCCACCTCRGGGCCTTGTCCCTCAGGGCTCTGGTCGTCCGCAGAGGAGCTCTCGATGCCGCTGTCGAGCCCGGCCGAGGTGAGCTCGCTYCTCTCGCCCTCCACGGCGCACAGCCACTCCTTCACGCGCAGGAGCTGCTCCACGCCGAGGCTGCCGTCCTCCTGCAGCTCCGTGAGCAGCCGATACGCGGCGTCCGTGCAGGTGCGGTAATGGGCGCACTCGGCGAGCAGGCGCGCCGTGGGGTCCCGCGCCGCCCCTTTGGGCGCGTCCGAGCGGTTGATGATGCGGGTCTCCGAGCGGTGCCGCTGCTCCAGGGCCTTCTGCAGGTTCTTTATCTGCAGGTGAAGCTCCTCCACGTGCTCCGTCTCCTTGCGGCAGTTCACGACGGCCTTGTTCTGGATGTTCTGGGCCCGGCTGGCGTAATTCAGCGTGTTGAGGCTCTCGTCGAAGTCGGAGGAGGACGGGCTGACACAGGCTATCATGACAGTCTGGGCATTCCCTCCCAGGGAGTCTTTTAGGATCCTGGGCAGAAGGTACATGCAATGAGAAGAGCTGGACTGCAGAATAAYGCAGGAAACAGAGAGGTACCACCAACTATTCATTCACAAAGTTAAACCCAATGAAAATGATATTCTCTGTCTATAACSAGTTCAGCACAAGTGAAGTGACCCAAATGATTAAGGAGAGGAATAACGTTTGACACTTCCCCCTGGGTAACTCCCAGGCTACCCCATTCTGTCATCACTGCTAGCTGCACACCAGACGTGTCCCAGGTCCATCTCCTACCTGGTGATTTTGGAGTCCCTGTAGGGAATGTGGCTGCACTTTCTCCGAGGGTCTCCCAAGGCACTGATCACGTTGCCCAAGGCCAGCAGACCACTGTTGATCTGGATACTCTCCTTCAGCCTCTCCCCCGTGTTTCCAGTCTTCACGATTCGCTCGGAGCCCGCAAGGTCCACAAAGTGAAACTTGGACACCAGCACCTGGCCCGAGGCGGGGACGGAGGAGCGATCGTGGAGGGCGAGGCGAGCAAGGCGGCCGGCGCCGCGCCGCTGCTCCATGGTCACCGTGAAGATGGTGTGCGAGCGGCTCGACTGCGCGTTGATGTGGGTGGCTCCCGTGTGCTTGGCCGTGTTGCCCATCTCCAGCAGGCTCAAGACCTCGTCCAGCCCTTCCACTTCTGACTCTTTCACACCGCACAGCACTGCAACGGCAAACGGAGCTGTCACTGCACGGGATGGGCTGCCCAAGGAAATGGGCATGAAGAGCCTGCAGTTTGGACAGGGCTGAAGCAGCTCACTCCTGAACACCTTCTCACAACATAAAACTACGTCCTCAGCTTCATGCAAAGGCTGAAGCTCAGAGCCCGATGGGGTCCCTTTCAGCCCTCTTGTGAAGCCAGGTGCCACTGCTCTATTCATATTATGCCCTGCAAACACAAGCTCTTCAGACAGAGCAGGGTTAGGCACAGCAAGCTGCTGCAGGACAGCTGGGGCGAAGACCCGTCTGACTGACCTTACAGGGTCACACACACCCAAATGGCCTTGCAAATGGAAAGAAAGTGGAGCTCAAGGGCAGACACACATACCRACATTCCCCTTGTCATCCTCACGGATCTGGATGTCTTTGCTGGCCGTATCCACCTGCAGCAAGTCCCGAAACTCCTCCTTATACACCTCTAGGTAGGACACTCTGACCGTGTAGTCAATGAGGTCATTCTCATCGATGAGCCTGAAGGTCTCGGCCATGGCTCGTGGGATGATGCCCTGCTCATCTTCATTGATGGCAGCTGCCAAAGAGAGACGTTTACGYGGTCAGTAGATGCACTGCAAGCCAGTGCCTGGTGGTGAGGGGTATCTCACCACCACTCTGACCTAGRTGTGGTTACAGCTGCATGGCTGGTAGGGCCGGTGACACTGGGGGAGGATGAG